TGTACACAGTATACTGTGCACATTTACTAAGGTCATGTACACAGTATCCACTTTACGTGAGAACCTTTGAGAAGTGACCTGTATGCAGGAATAATCTCTCCGATGTGTCGTATTGGGATGTTGATGAAGCTTGAGTAACCTCTGGGTGTAGAAAAAGTCAAGTATTTTTTTCTGCTTTAATCTCTGAATTAAATACGCTGCGAGTGTCTCTCTTATAAAGTCTGATGATGAGGAGGAGGAGGACAAGGAAGCTCCACTCTGCCATTCAGGAGCTCCAAGCAGTCAACAAGATGGCTGCCTGAGAACATTTGTATATAGTAAATATTATATACGGTGCAATATATTTTAATTAAAAATGTTCTTGATTTTTTTTTTTGCTTTCTTTATTATAAAGGTTGTGGACAACCAGATTCTGTCAGGTTGTTGCTGGACCACCTGGAACATGTTCCCATGTCTACCCCGACATACGTCACAGTAATGAGTCAGCTGTTGTAACTGGAACGTTTTATTTATTTATTTAACCTTTATTTATGCAGGTGGTCTCATTGAGTCGTACCTCGAACCATCACGATCGCGGACTTCTTCGCTGCGTTTCCTACGTTGTTGGAGGCGGTGCAGGTGTAGGCGCCTCCATCGTCCACGGTCAGGACAGGAAACGTCAGGGTGCCATCGTTAACGGCGCTCCTCTTCGGGAGCTCCTCCCCTTCCAGCCTCGACCACATCAGCGTCGGTGGAGGGTCTCCGCCCGTCACTGCACACACCAGAGTGACCGTGTCCCCCGGGTTCACCACCACCGGGTCGTCCAGGAGAAGTTTAATGGAAGGGGGAGCTGGGGGGAGAACAAGAAGAAAAATCAATGAGGGTGGAAAATGTTTAATTTAAATGCCAGAATTGTAACAAAACACTATTTTACAATTAATAAGTCTGAAAGGTTGGTACCCAACAAATACAAATATTAACAAATCTGGGGCACAAAAAACAACAAATTAGTGCATATATTTTATTTTGTAGATTTATAATAAAATGAACGAGATTTTAAAAACCAAACTGTAAAATTTTAGGCTTATAAAAAAATTAATATTTTTATTAAAGTTCTTTTGCGACATAAAGCAGCAGCTCGTAACAATACATGTCTCTTCTTCCAACAGTTTTACACCACGAGGCGCTGAAAAGCAGCTAAATGTAATTATATTAATGAGGGAGATAAAAATAGCTGAGCTGACCTTTACCGAACAAAACTCATGTAAATCCCATCAGCCCCCGCAGTGGCGCTGGACGCTCCAAACGGGTCGGAACACAGTCCCAATAATAAATGTTAAAGACGAGCGGCGCAATCAGACGAGCTGCTGCCGAAAGTCAGTTTTTTAAAATGAAATAAGAACACACTGAGACTTTGTGCGTTCCAGACGTTTTTAAAGTCTTTTTTTTTATTACTCACGTGAATTTTTTGAAATTTTTACTCTTTAAGAGCTTCTAAAACCCCCCACCCCTCCCCTCCGAGTTATAGTTTCTACAGAACACAGTACAGCTGAGCATTTTTGACTCGGGCCAAAAGAAGCATCTTCGTTTTTTATAAAAACGAGTTTAACTTTGTCCTTTAATAATAAAAAAAACACCAGAAGTCCAAAATACGCCCGTCGGTAAACTGTCAGAGGAATCAAAACGCAAAACATGGCGTCCCTCATACACCAACCCTGGATATGTGCATGTTCAGATGATGGGGTCAAAGGTCAGCTTGACTGATAACGACGTTGTCCATGGCGTCAGTCCATTACAGAGCAGGTAAGAACATGAAACGGCAGCTATGAGGTGAAGAACTCACCTGTTGGGGACCACCAGCTGATCCAAACCATTTTATGATCAGAGGAGTGGACTTCACCAGAACCAGAACCACTCAGGCTTTAGTTTGTAGAAGTGGTCTTAATAAAAAGAAGATGCAACATGAAGCCACAGCCTGGGGACATTTTCTGTCCTAAACCTTTGAGGAGTTGCACCAAGGACATCCTACTACTGTGGACTGTCTTCTGGAGGGAATAATAGGACAACTTCTGAGGACTATCTAATGGATGAAAGATGAGGACAAACAAGGGGACAACGAGTTTGACATTGCTATGTTACGTGGAAGTCAAGCTGGAGGTTTAAACATGTGACCTTGACCTTTGACCTCCATGACCTTGAAATCAATAAGGATAATCTTTGACCCATGAGGTGTCCAGCTGTGCAGTTTGACATTTCTGTGTTAAAATGTTTTCAATATAGAGCTGGGACAAGAAATTGTCCACGGTCAAACAGACCACCACCACCACCACCACCACCACCACCACCACCACCACCAGCAACAACAACAACAACAACAACAACAACAACAACAACAACAACAACATGTCAGACGTAATGATCGGAGGTTAGCGTCTAAGGGAAAATTTAATAATAATATTAATCTGACATGTATGTTAGCATCAAGGTTTAAATGCAGCTTTTGTTGTTGATTGGCACAAGTCATTGGTTCCCAACCCTGGTCCTTGAGGAACACCATCCTGTATGTTTTAGTTGTTTCTCTGCTCCGACACACCTGATGCAATGATTTAATTACTTCCTCGTGTTCTGCAGAAGCCTGGTAATCACCCATTAATTAAAATCAGGTGTGTCGGAGCAGAGAAACCACTAAAACATGCAGGATGGTCCAACGATTTTCAGTCAGGTCATCTGGACAGTTTCTTTTTTTGCTGAAACGTTTCACCCTCCATCCAGAAGGCTTCATCAGTCAAGGAAACACACAACTCTCCAGATGACCTGACTGAAAATTGTTGGATTGTATACCTGGATTATTGAGCATGGACTTTCATGCAGGATGGTGTTCCTCAAGGACCAGAGTTGTAAAAACCCTGGTTTAGATGCTGAATGCAAGTTGTTTTTTGTTTTGTAAAGTTTTAAAGACAAATTTCATTTAACCATGCTCTATCAGTTTTATTGATTTATATCCATTTCTTTGTTGTCATACAGATAGTATTTGTTGTGCTCTTTGATTTTATTATAACTAAAACAAATTCTATTTCTTTTTTGGTTGAATGTTTAATGAGAAAAAAATGTGTGAAAAAACAAATGTTAAAAAGTACAACCCCAATCTAAATTATATTAAAGAACAAAATAACAATTTAATTTTGTTTATTGGCCTTTCAAGGAACCAGAGAAACAAACAGCTTTATTTACAAATAAACTTAATTTAATCACCGTAAACATTTTAAAACTGATCATGTGGGCTGTGTTAAAAACAGACACGTTTTGCTTTAAAATAAGAAATATTGTAAACAAGATGACTCATTCTGTTGGGAGAGTAGATTTTTATTTTTGTATGTTTGTGTACCTGTCCTGTTGTTCAGACTGAAGAGGACGTTCTTGTCTTGTAAGTCACAAACGTTCTTCACCGAGGCGATGCAAGTGTAGTCGGCAAAATCCCGCACACGAAGATTTTTCAGCTTCAAAATCTTTGTCTCGCCCTGAAACACAAACGCATTCGTCCTCATTACACTTTTATTTTGTTAAGGCCTCTAACATAGGTAAAGTATTATATTAAATTTAAATATTAGACCTTGTGTCTTAAGAACACATAGAGGGTCCAAAGTCTCTAAATACTCCTAAAAGAAGAAAAAACTAAGAAACTTTTTGATATAGGTCTACGTTTGACTAAAGAACATATAAAAGTTAAATATTTTAGTAGTAGACTTTTACTTTTATTGTCCTGTGAAGCTCAGTTTGATGCCAAGACAGTAAGAAGAAGCCTTATTAAACTGATAAAGCAAGCTTTTATTTTGTAGTCTTACAGTCTGGAAGTTATGCTGAGCACCATCCCTACTGTGAAGCACGGTGGTGGCAGCTTCATGCTGCGGGGGATTTCCATCAGCAGGGACTGAAAAAACTGGACAGTGAGCCTGCACACACTGCTGAAGACACAGACCACTGGTTTAAAGAGAACCAGGTAAAGGTTCTGGAAGGGTCCAGTCAAAGTCCAGACGGAGAACCTCTGGTTCAACCTAAGGGTTGTTGGACACAAGCAGCACCTGTCCAACCTGAAGAAGCTGGAGACGTTTGGACAGGAAGGATGGACAAAAAGTCCAGAAGCTCCCAGAGACAAACCTGAATCATAAATGCAATAAACAGAACCTAAACCAAACCCAAACCCAGAACACACCCCCACCAAAAAAAAAGCTAAAGCTCATTGGTGGGCCAGACTGAAGTCACCGGCCTGCAGGCTGCCAGTTGAATAGCCCTGACGTAGAAGGATCGGTAAACAGAGAGCTTCGTCCTACAGCTCAGAGTCATCTTCACCACAACGGACCGGCACAGATTACACAATACTGCAGACTCCGCACCGATCCGTCTGTTGATCTCACTCTCTATTCTTCCTTCACTCAAACCCAGAGGTACTGTTTCTGGTCCAGTTATTTTTCCATTCGTTTCTGTATTAGCTCCAAAAGTGAGGATGAGTTAGAGGAGCAGAAATAAAAAAAATAAAAAAAACGTAAAACTTTAATAATTGGATTCTTTCAAAGTGTTTGAGCTCTAAATCAGGACGTCAGTTTGTAAAGGTGCTGACTTGCTTTCTGCCCCTGTTCTGTAACGGGGCTCTGAACGCATCGTGGAGCGTTGCAGTGCTCGCAGGAGAAGCAGAGAAAAAGAGCTAGGACAGCAATTTAAATGTATCTGTTTGTACAGAAACCATTTTTCATTCACTGGCAGCAGAACAGTTGCTGCTCGTGAGGGCGAAAGTCCCAAAGCACCTCTATAAAGAGACAAAGCTAAAAATAAAATCAGCCTCTCTCCAAATACAGTCTACTTTCAGACGTGTTAAAGATTTTCACAATAAAAGATTGTGATTGTACGACTACATGGACTTTTTGTTTTGCTTTAAAATTACATTTTTGAGTATTTTGTGTCTTGTTTTTGTACTGGTATGTTTTCTGGGCAGCTGTGCAACCTGAATGTGTCAACACAAACTACAAAAAGTGATTTTACTTCCCTGCAGGAGAAAATGTTAACGTCTGCTCTGAAAAGCAGGTGCCGGACCAGCATGCACCGGGGCAGGAGAAAGAAGTAGCATTTGTTTATATGTTGCATGCTGGGATGGATTTATAAACCCACCACTAACAAAGGACTTCTGGTACATCGAGAGCCTGTTGTTTTCTGTTTTATTTTATTATTTAATGTTCTGAGTTAGAAAATAATCTCCACTTCCTCACCTGTGTGAAAAATGGCTTGTATATCTCCACCCCGGAGTCGGTGCCCTCTGACAGCACCTCCCTGCCTCTCAGCCAGGTGTAGTGGACCGGAGGGTTGGAGTTGGTAGCACAGCGGAGGAACACGGTCCGCTCGAAGTAAAACTGCTCCTTGGCTTCATCGTCACTCTGATGAACCGTGATCACCGGGTCGTCCAGATCTGAGGACCAAGAAGGATGTACGCATCAACCAATACCATCATGTATGTCTGTTAGTAAAATATCTCATGCACCGGTGGAGGGACAGTAATGAAACTGAATCTCTGTGGCGTTCTTACAGTAGACATCCACTCGCATGGAGTGGATGGCCGGCAAGCCCAGGCCGTTCTCAGCCTTGCAGTAGTATCGCCCGCCCTGGTGGCGACGAATGTTTTCGATCTTCAGAGTTTCGCTTTGCAGCGAATAGTTACCGTGACGATCCGAGGCTCCGCCCGCTGTCTTCATCCAACGGATCTGCCCAGAACCAAAGGGTTAAGATACAAACAGTCCTTTTTAGGACTAAACATCTTAATTAGTACACATCTCAGCATTGACAAAGCCCAAAAAAAAAGGTTAGCATGACATTTATTAATAAGCCGTTTGTGTTTTTAAGAAATATCTTGTTTACATTTAGAAACAAAGACCAAAACAGCTAACAAAGTCCATGCTCAATAATCCAGGTATACAATCCAACAATTTTCAGTCAGGTCATCTGGACAGTTTCTTTTTGTGTTGAAACATTTCACCTTCCATCCAGAAGGCTTCATCAGTCAAGGACACACACAACACAAAACTGATTCTTCCCCCAACAGCTTACTCCAAAGTGGAACAAACCAGTTATGTTGGTGTTAAGATGGTCACTTCTGTGTTGTGTGTTTCCTTGACTGATGAAGCCTTCTGGATGGAAGGTGAAACGTTTCAGCACCAAAAAAAAAAAGAAACTGTTCAGATGACCTGACTGAAATTTGTTGGACCAAAACAGCTGTTTGGTAACTCAGCTGAGTCAGCATTATTGTTTTCCTGTTTTTTATTTTTCTGTACTATTTTTGCAATCTAACTACTTATGCAGACTTTTTGCTATTTAGCTGCTTATATATGAAAATGTTTGGCACATTCAGCAGATGGGTGCTGTAATTATTGGTTTCCATAACTTTAAAATGTTTAACTTTATTTACAAATAACTTCCCCAGAGAACTAATAAAACTTTTTTAAATGTCTTTAAAAACGTCAGTGTTCTGTTTGAAACCTGCTTCAGCTGTTGGCTCTGTTTTTATCTTATTTTGCTACTTTTGGCTTTTAGCTAGCATTTAAATATTTTTGGCTTTTAGCTAGCATTTAGCTACTTTTAGCCTGCATATTTTTATGTCCATCTTTCAGGTAATATTTGTTACAGTTGGCTTTGAGCTAGCAGTTTACTACTTTTGGCTTTTAGCCAGCATTTAGCTACTTTTAGTATTTAGCTAGCATTTAGCTACTTTTAGAATTTAGCTAGCATTTAGCTACTTTTAGCCAGCATATTTCTACTTTTGTTTTTTAGCTAGCATTGTGCAACTTTCAACTATTTCCAGTTTCAGCTTTTAGGTAGCATTTTGTTACTTTTGGCTTTTAGCTAGCATTTTTGCTACAACTGGAACTGTACGGTGTGGTACGCTACAGCTGCTTTGCCCTTGATAAGTCCAGCTCGAGTCAGTTCTTGTCTTATCGGTTCTTCTCAGGTGTAGGTGACTGTGACTTGTTTCCCCGCTCTGGTGGGATCGTAACTGGAACACTGGTGGGCATCGTAAGGTCATTGTGCACGACACTGCAGTGATATTTTCTGCGAGAGTCAACCATGGAGGAACTCTAGAAAAACAAACCTACACTCCGCCTTCTGCAATGATCGGAGAGGAAGTGGAGGTTCAGATATAGTTTCTAGTTTTGCTGGGTGGGTCATCCAGTGACGTAGCTCCACTGAACAATCAACGGCTGCTGTCTGCTTAAGTCAAAATCATCACCTCGGAGCAGTTCGCCTAAAACCACGAACAAGATGGTTCCATAAACTGGGCTGAGCGGGGATGGGTACGGGCAGTGATCAAGCCCTTAACTAGTGCGATGTCGTGCGTAACCGATGAGTGCTGAGACTGTGGCTTAACGCCGTGTGTTATTTTGCTGCTTCTGGCTTCAAGCTAGCAATCTGATTAAAAGTTTAGCAACTATATCTCTGTTTCTTCAACAAATGTCAGAGAAATCATTCAGCTCTCAGCATTGTATTTTCACTGAAACAGCAGTTTCAGCTGGTCTTAGATTCCTCCAGAATTCTCTTATACCCCTTACTATTACACCAGTAAAACCACACTGATCTTACTGCAGCTTTGTTGCTGTTTTGACACACACCAACTCCCCCTAACAAATAAATGCTATTGTTTTGTTTTAAAATATTAATAGTATTTATTTCCACAATGACCGTGGGGTGGGATGAGAACATTTAAAAGCAGCTTAATGTCTAACAGATGCTGCACTGTTGTTGCCGACTCTGTGATGTTAGCTGCGTACTGCTGCAGTATCCCAATGCTTGATTTTATTAAATCCAGTACACCTGTAGAGTTGTTACCTGCGGTCGGGGGTGTCCGGTCACCAGACACTGAAGTTCCAGAGTCTCCCCCTCTCTGATGGTGTAAACCCTCTCGCTGTATTGCTCTTCCTCCACGTTGCAGGACTGACCTGATTGCACAATTCGCACAGTGGGAGACGCTGCGCATGCATGTGCATGCACACACAAATACACACACATACACACAAACAAAAACATTTAGGAAACACAAAAAGGTTTAAATATACAAGAGAACTTACTATGTGCTTCTATTTAGATCCATTTTAGTTTTTTTTTTTAATTGTATAGAATGGATTGGAACAGTACAGTATGCTATGGTAAGGTACGCTGTGGTATGAAAATATATATTATGTATAGTATATGAAATTATATGGTATGGTACAGTATGATTTGGCATGGTATGGTACATATAGTATGGTATGGTACGGTATGGCATGGTTTTCTATCCACTCACATGAACAGAAAACAGTAAGGAGTTCAGTGGCCCTTGCTCAGAAATGTGTTACTGGGGCCCCACCCTGGAGCCAGGTCTGGAGGAGGGGCTCGTTGGCGAGTGCCTGGTGACCAGGTCTCTACCCATCTGACCCAACCCACTACCAGGTGGTGATCAGTTGACAGCTCAGCTCCTCTCTTCACCCGAGAGTCCAAAACAAACAACTTCAGATCAGATGACACGACTACAAAGTCAATCATCGATCTACAACCTAGGGCTTCCTGGTGCCAAGTGCACTTATGGACACCCTTATGTTCAAGCACAGAAGTCCCAACAACAGAACATCGCTTGGGTTCTGATCAGAGAGACTGTTCCTCCCAGTCACGCTCCTCCAGGTCACACTGTCATTACCCACATGGGCAATGAAGTCCTCCAGCAGAATAAAGAAGTCCCCACCTGGAGCACCATCCAGCACCCCCGCTAAGGACTCCAAGAAAGGCCGAATACTCTGAAGTGCCATTTTGCACGTAGGCAGAAACAACAGTCAGAGACCGTCCCCACTACCAAGGTGCAGAAAAGCTACCCTCTCATCTACTGGGGAAAACTCCAGTACACAGGCACCAAGTCAGGGGGCTAAAAGTAGACCCACACCAGCTCGGCGCCTCTCAACATGGCCAACTCCAGAGTGGAATAAGGTCCTTCTCAAGGAGAGTGGTTCTGGAGCCCATGCTGTGCTTTGAGGTGAGCCCAACTACATCTAGTCGGTACCTCTCAACCTCACGCACAACCTCAGGCTCATTCCCTGTCAGAGATGTGACGTTCCATGTCCCAAGAGCCAGCTTTAGTAAGCCAGGATCAGAGCACCAAGACCCCCACCTTCAGCCACGGCCCATGGCCTCGTGCACCCGACTCGTATGGCCCCTCTTACAGGTGGTGGTCCCACAGTAAGGCAAACCTATGTTTCTCATTCGGGCTGAGCCTGGCCAGGCCAATGGTGAGGGAAGATGCTGGAAACACCCAGTAGACCCAAGCGTGTAGAGGGGGTTTGGTGGGCACACCTACCATACCATACCAGCTTTATTTATAGAGCACTTTAAACACCCACAGGACCAAAGTGCTGTACACACAACAAAACACCTGGCAGAAGAACTCAAACAGACCAAGCGTTCCCAGCACCTTCACAACCAAACGTCCTAATTCAGAGTTTAAACACTGCGCCAGTCAGCTCCAAGCTAAATAAAAACTGTGATTTGTTTGGTCTGTGTTGTAAATGACTTTCAGCTGCTATCACACAATCCTAGCTCCCCACCTGTAAATTTTATTGTTTCTGACCCCAGCTATCGGGCGATTCAATTAAAAATCTGTCCAGTGGTTCATGAGATGTGATTTCCTAACAGACAGTCAAATAATCTCTCACATTATCACCTGCCTTTTATTTTGGTAGAACATAATGAGTCATGAATGATGATGAGGGTTTTAAACTGTGCTGCATCAGTGTCAGTGATTAGAGCGAAGCCACGGTTGTAGGAACGATGTTAAACCGTTCTCTGCCCAGCAGGACGCAGCGTAAACACAGCTGGAGCTGCTCTGATCCAGGTGCTCATGAAAACAAGGTGAGCAGCTGCCAACAGCTGGACCCGCTCCACTTTCATCAGACTGCAACTCTAAAATACTTCTCCGTCAGATGGAACATCTGTGTGCCGACACGTTAACTCTCCTGCTCATATGAGAGCTTCAAAACGGGATATTCCAACCAAACTGTTTTTTCTTCAGTAATTTACGACAGAGTACTGAGTACATATAAACGTCATAAATATTGCTCGCCGCTAAAGGCGACGTGGGAATAATGTTTTTCTCCATGTCTGTGTTTGTTTGTGGTGTTAGCAAAATATTTCATGAAGCACTGAATGCATTTTAAGGAAACTCTCAGAAAGTAATCAAATCTACAAAACAATTTCCATTTAATCAATCAAACTCATGATGTCTAAGCGTTATCAAACACAAAATCGGCTTCAGCTCAGTTAGTTTGACAGATACTGAGCTCATGTTTACAGTGGTAGTAGCCGAGAATCATCCCATGAATATATTTGAAGCGCTAACAAATAATGTAAGATCTTTGTTTGGAATCTTGGCAAAGAAGGAGGAGGGTGACATTTACTACTTCAAGGAATGAAAGTTTAATATTTAAAGAGAAGACTGTACATATTTGTACTTGGCAAATGTAAATTAGGAAGAAAACTGTTGACAACCCTGTCTGTCTGTCCAGCCCTATCTCTTATTCAGTGCTAAAGGAGTCTCATTTTTAAAATTCTAATTAAGGATTAAGGATGTTGCATAAGAACTGAAACACCTTTCTTACTATCTAACCATTATTCTGTCATTTCTGACATGATTCATGCCCCATCCTGAAGTTTCGGCAACACAAAGATGCATCAAACCATGGACACACAGCTTTCTCTTGTTGGGAATAGAGGATGACGTTTTTCCAGGAGTCCTGCGGGTCACAGAATTCCCGCAGGATCCCGGTAGGACAGGAGTCAACTTTAATACAAGTCACATCATTGGGATGGGACAGGACGAAAAGTTAACAGGACCAGACAGGAGCGGGAACCAACTAATAGGACAAAAAAGAAAATGAAAAAAAATAATGCAGACCACAAAGTAATATAAAAAGAAATGGGTAGAAGATCAAATCAAATTCAATGTATTTCCTAAAGACTAAAAGAAGAAAAAAAGGAAGCGGTACAGGAGTGGGAGTCATTCTGAATGGGAGTAGGATGGGAGCTAGAGTTATGTTACCAGGAGTGGGACAGGACAGGAGTTTTATTTTTTTTATTCTGGCCCAGGATTGGGACGGGACAGGATTTTTTCTGTGGGACCAGGACAGGAGTGAAAATCCACTCCCGTGTCATCCTCTAGTTGGGAACTGCTTTACAGAAGCGGCCATGTTGAATTACTGGAACCAGCATCTGTGAGCTCTCCATGAGCCATACCTACACATGATCAAGTCTTTTCTTTAAGGCATGAAATAACCAAAAATAACATTTGTACAAGAAATGTAAGAGAGATGAAAATTACCAAGAGTCAACCGTGATTTTTTATTTAATTTTTTTTAGATCTGTTTATTTTATTTTACCATCAGCATGGAGTACGGACACCAGCCAACTAGGAAACTGGATCTGGTTCTGGGTTCAACTTTAAGGTCTACCTCAGAGTTCTAATCATAATTAGGCTTTGATCAAAATCATGCAGATTGACTGCATGTATGTAAACAAATGGTGCAAGACAAAAAAATCACAAACTTCCCACATATACATCAGTGGGACACTGTGCAAAGTAAGTACCGGTAGTAAAACCAAACGAGCGCAGAGTGAGCCAAAAGCTTTTATCCTGTTACTCAGAATCAAACAACAAAAAAAATTATGTTAACAGCAGGGAAGTAGAGCAACCAGCCTTCACTGGCTAAATATAAAACTAATGCACAGATGTTGCATCCTAATCCCTGGTACATGCTTCCTTTTTCCTTCATCGTCCCTTCCCTCCTATGTCCCTCTGTTGGACAAATCGGCTTTCTCTCCGACGCAGAGCCGAGTTCCAGGTAGAAACCAGAGTTTCTATCAGACTGACATGTCAGCACAGGAAGTGAAATGAATGTTAGTGACACCAGAGCACCACCCTCCCTCTAATCTGACATTTAAGACTTTAGATAATCTGACGGGGATCTGACGTCACACTGAAAAACGCAATCCCGTTATTTAACATAGAACAAAATCAAAATGTAATCAAACACTACAGCTGATTTGTTTAACTCTTTACAAACAATAATCAACCAGACATTAATGAACAAGCTTTACCAAAAGGTTTTTTTTTTTCAGCTTGGAAATGAAACACAGCATTTGAAAAATAAATCAAATATTCTCTCCTCTTTTAGTTGTGGGATTTAACACAATGCGAAGGTGGTAAAGCATCAGCAATGTTGCCGCCTGTCAATCTGGGAAGGGTCAAAGGTCATTTGGAGTCCATTATTCTTTGACGAAAAAGTTGATTTATAAGTGGAAAACATTAAGACTGCTGACAGTCTTCACAAGTGTCTGCAAATTCACCCTGAAGGTCAGACTGTGCAGTGCTAAGACTCTACAGGCCTCAGTCAGCAGGTCAAAGGTCAACAGTCAGAGCCTCTTTTCCCACAAAACAACATGGAAGCTTGACAGGTTTGGAAAATGTCATCTACAAGAACCACAAGATTTCTGGACCAGAACCAAACCAAAGGACAGATGTTTACCCAGAATACACTGCAGCCAACAGCTCTTCACAGCTGTCAGCACAGTGGTGGAGGGCTTATGGTTTGGGCTCCTGTCAGTCACTGAGTGGACCAGTACCTCCTCTGTAGACCAAAGGGTTCTGGAGTCAGATGTGAGTCCATCTGTCCAACAGCAGAAGCCTGGACTGAACTGGGTCCAACAGGACCATGATCCCAAACACAACAGCTGATCTACAACAGAACGGGTCAAAAGGAAAAGAACCAAGGTGCTGCACCAGTCCGGAACCTCAACCTGACTTTGTGGACATCTATAATACTCACAGAAGTCATTGCCCAGAGGCAGATAATCCATTTAGTTGTCTTAACTAAGTTAAATCCAAAATGGTTTCTGAATTTTATTTTCAGGCGTTATAATGTTTCGTGTCACTGAGCATGCTCAGAAGCTCATTAAATGCAGATTAGAAACGCACGTCGAACAGGTAATTAAATCAGAACTTTGACTCAGAAAGACACGTTGTGTTAAGCATCCATGCTTTCAAACCTAAAGTCATTTACCTGAAACACATTTCTTCACCTCTCGTTTGTTTTTTAAAGAACCCGATGGACTGATTGAAGTGCGTCTTTTAAGAGTAAAAATAAATACCAATACATTGGATGTGTGGAAAATAATTTCATTTATAAACTTTATTTATATTTCTCATGAGCTTAAATGTCCTGACAGTTTCAGACTTTAGTGAATGTTCTGAATCAATCTTTTGTAACGGGGGGTTGATGCAACGACGGACTTCGATGATTTTTAAGAACTAGTTTAAATGTATTGTGGATAAAAAAATAATTTGTACAGGCTCAAAAATACCCAAATGATCACCTGATTTGTGATGCTGAAGGTTTTGGAATGTCTTAACTCAAAAAAAAAAAAAAATAATAATAATAATAATGTAAAAACTTCCTGTTGGTGATCATGCCTGACTGCAACTGGTAGTTTTATTTTGTTCATTTTTTGACAGAGTTAAAAGGATTTTAACGCCCAGACCATGAGCCTATGAAATTTAGGTCCATATCTGTAAAAATATAAAAAATATACATTTTTCATTTAGCTGATCAGCCTTTTCACTAACATTGGAAACTGTTAGCAGAACTAGCTTCCGCTCAATTAGGTGGCCAACAATGTCTGCTAACAAAATTCACAAGCTTGTTCATGTATGTTGTGGGCGTGTCTTTAAGAGCTCGTTAAGCACGATATTGGCTGACTACATGTACACTGATCTAACGTGACTGGTCCACATAGCTTCAACTGGAAGGAGAGGAAGACACATGACACAGAATGACTGACAGTTGTCTTAGCAGTTAGAGGTTTAGCATTAGCTTCTGCTCATTTAAAAAAAAATTATGTTTAGGCAAAGCTAAATTTAAAGTTAACGACATGAGTTAACAAAGATAACTTCTTAGTTTGATGTGCCTACCACTGTATGCATACAGTATTATATAGAGTTATACCGGTAACCGTTTTTGTGCCAGCCAAGGTTGATTAGCTGCAGCAGCCATCTTAAATGTGGTTGAGTCTAAAATGGTTGTAAATGTATGTAAGATTATGCATTTCTGAAAATTTCATTAAAGATAGTAAAAGTAAAACTAGCTAAAAGCTAAAATGGGCAAAATCCTAGCAAAAACAACAGTACAAAAAAAAGCTAGATAAAAGTAGCAAAAGTATAGCTAGAAGCTAAAAAATGACTGAATGAATAACTGAAATGAAAAAAAAAAAAAATATATATATATAAACCAAGCACTGGGGAGTGCAAGCCATTGTATCTCTTATGCCGGTCCCAAGCCCGGGTAAATGATGAGGGTTGTGTCAAGAAGAAAGGATTCTGATGTAAAACACTTTTGCCAAAACTATAATACGAGTTTGTCTAAGAGACACCATATTGGATCGGTCAACGACTGGCACCGGTGCTGTTGACAAACAGGCTGCCAATAGAAATTCTGCTACTGTCAAAGACCACGAGGAGGGAAACATGTCAGGAGACAGAAGGAGAAGAGGAAAGTCAAGAATGTAGGACTGAGGGTGCCAATTCTAAATGTGTGGACAATGACAGGCAAAGGTAGAAAGCTGGTTGACATGATGCAGAGAAGGAAGGTAGATGATTTATGTATCTAAGAGACCAAGTGGAAGGGCAGCAAGGCTCACAGCATTGGAACAGGGTTTAAACTGTTTTACCATGGTGTGGATAGAAAGATAAATGGAGTAGGGGTTGGCAAAGAATGCAGTAGAGGTGAAGACAGTCAGAAAGGGTCATGTGTCTGAAGGTAGAAGTAGAAGGTCTGATGATAAATGTTGTCAGTGGTTATGCTCCACAGGTTTGACGTGACGTAGAGAAGAAAAATAAATTTTGGAAGGATCTGGATGAAGTGATAGAAAGCACTCCCAGGGAGGAGAGAGTGAAGATTGGAGCAGACCTGAATGGACACGTTGGTGAAGGAAACAGAGGGGATGAGGAAGTGATGGGTAGGTTTGGTGTCAAGGAAATAAACCAGGAAGGACAGATAGTGGTGGATTTTGCCAAGAGAATAGAACTGGCTGTAGTCAACACTTTTTTCTAAAAGAGGGAGGAACATAGCGTGACTTATAAGAGTGGAGGCAGGAGTACGCAGGTCGAATACATTCTGTGTAGAAGTGGAAACATGAGACAGATTGGGATAGAAACTGTGCACCAGGAAGTGGGAAAAATTAGTGAGGGTGAAGTCCAGAAAGCTCTGAAAAGAATGAAGAGGAAGGCAGTAGGACCTGATGACATACCAGTGGAGGTTTGGAAATGTTTTGGAGAGATGGCAGTGAGGTTTTTGATTCAAATATTCAATGGCATATTTGAGGGTGAGAAAATGCCTGAGGAATGGAGAAGAAGTGTGCTGGTGCCCAATTTTAAGAACAAGAGTGGTGTACAGAGTTAACAGCTATAGGGAAATTAAGTTAATGAGTTCAGGTTTGGTTTATCTGTCATGCAAAATCAACACAAGGTCACCAATGCAATGAAACGTTTAGGACGAGAAGAACCGTCTTGACTCGCCAAGAAAATAACAAGAAATACAAAAGCATGTAGCAAAGATACTAAAAAAAAATACTACAAAAATACTAAAAAAAGATATTAAAAATACAAATAAAATACTAAAAACAAGGCAACAAAGTTAAAAAGAAATAGTGTGATTCAGATAGCAGTGAGGTTCTTTCAACATCATGGTTCTGTTCTGTAAACGGCGTGGTCTTGGTAGCAGCCTAACCCTAACCCTAACCCTGTCCAGAGGAGGGACAGTGGTTTGGACATGTCCAGAGGAGGGACAGTGTGTATATTGGTAGAAGAATGTTAGAAATGCAGCTGCCAGGGAATAGACAAAGAAGAGATGTATGGATGCAGTTAGAGAGGACATGGAGGTAGTTGGAGTGAGGACAGAGGATGCAGAGGACAGAGTGAGATGGAGGAGGATTACACGCAGTGGAGGGAAAGATAGTGTGTATATGTGTATATATAATAAAATTAATTAAAACAAACAAATGCATATATATACATATAAATATATATAATTATTTATATATATATATAATTATTTATATATATATAATTATATATATATAAATATATATATAAATAAATATATATATATAATTTGTGGACATGCGCGCTGAGGCATGTCGCGTTAAGCAGCTACTTCAGTACAAGGTCATGCTGCTGCTCTGCCTGAAGATGCTGCTTCCATTAAAATCCCGTGAACGTAAATCTGACGCTGATTAAAACGCGCTCGTGCTGCTGACGTCCTTACCGTACACGCCCTGTCCGTGCACGCCCTGCAGGAAGCTGGTAAACAGCCACAAGAGTCCGAAAAGTAAACCCATCTTCTCATCCTCCTCTGCCCGCGCTGCCTCTGCGCCTCCCATTCCCGCCCTCACCCCCCAGGATGTCGGCTCGGTTCGCCGCTGCTGCTCCCTCCTCCTCCTCCTCCTCCGCTCCGGTCCCGGTGCTTCCACACGGAGTCCGGTACGACCGGTTCTCATCCACAGCGTTTCCTCACCAGAAGCCCCCTCTGTTAGTGTGTTCCCCCCACCGAACCCCCCTGATCCCGGTCAGATGTGACGGGCAGGTCCGGTTCTGGTCATCATTCAGGGAACGGTAAAATCAGAAACAGGTCCGGTTCTTCAGTCGTGACATTGTAGATGATTAAATATTAGAGCGGGTCGGAACCAGGACCATCCTCAGACCTCCGAGATGATCTGAGTCAGAAGTCCCCCCGGTCCGTCCGCCGGTTCTGCCGTGCAGTTACCTCCATGAACGAACCCCCGGAGCAGCGGAACCGGCTCCGGCTGCTGTCGGAGCCCAGCGGCTGGTCGCGGCCCTCCAGGCCGAGGAGGGGAGGGGGAAGCTCCGAGATGCCGTCAGTCTCTCAGCGCTGATGGAGCCGCGGAGCGCCGTCAGAGGATTTTACCGGTCAGGGTGACGTCACCGAGCAGACAGGAGGGGGCAACCAGGCGCACAGCGGGACTTCCGGAGACGTACCTTCAAAATAAAAAGTCACGCACCAAACATTGACATGTTTTTTATTTTATTTTATTATATATGTATTATTTATTTAGTACAAAATATCTTACAAACCACAGGACAGATTTAATGAAACTCACAAGCACAGGTTGAAGGACTGGGAGATAAAGTTAAAGAGACCAGACTGAGATGGTTTGGACATGTCCAGAGGAGGGACACTGGGAATATTGGTAGAAGAATGTTAGAAATGCAGCTTCCAGGAAACAGACAAAGAAGAGAGGTATGGATGCAGTCAGAGAGGACAGTAGTTGGAGTGAGGACAGAGGACACAGACAGAGTGAGATGGAGGAGAAGGACACGCTGTGGAGACCCCCGAACAGGGAAAAGCCAAAATAAGAAGGATGTACTTCTTTTTGGAGTCAACCCATTTTTTAAAATTATTATTACTTTATTTTACCAGGAAGAAATCCATTGAGCTCAGATTGAGATAACTGAGATCTAAACCTGTTTAAGTACAACAAATATAAACACTTAAAATCAACATTAATGTTTGTTAGTTTCATCTTCTTCACACATATTTCTGTTTTTTGTATTTATGCTTCAACAGAGAGTTAAAACTAACAAAACGTCTAGATTTGTTGCAGCTGATTCCTGGCAGGCAGCTCTGAGTGTTTGATCGGCTGCAGCTGTGCAGCTCTCCGCCTGCAGAAGCAGATCCCGGTGGTTTGGGTCGGGTCAAACGGGCTGGGATCTCATGGATGAGCTGGCGTTGGAGCGATATTTCGATGACTCCATTGCAAACGTGAGTTTAAAAATGGACAGAACTTCACCAGAGCAGTTCAGAGATTTTAACGTGACTTAGGAGATAAAAGATTTCAGATTTTTGCTGCCTTAACAGGAAACACCAGAACACGTCTAGGTGATCAAACAAACCCTTCGGTTTCCATGGCAACAACAATAAATCCCAATGAGTTTAATAAAAATAAAAGAAAACTGTTTACTGCTGATTCAGCTTATTAATCTGATTGTTGCACTTTTATACAAAATCAAAGCACAGGTTCTAACAGGTGGTTACATCAAAAATGGTTTGAAAGTTAAACTGAAACAGTTTTACACCTTTTTTTTTTTTACAGTTTATACATCAAATAGAATATGACAAAATGAAGTCTCATTTCAGTTTATAGCAGAAGTTTAAGTAATTTTAGAAATTAGCTCTGTTGGTTTCCTTAAACAGAATATTTTCTTTATTAATGCATTAAACACGTGAAGTCATAATTCTGGACTCCGCTCTCTGGTTATATTTATTGTTTAGAGCAGCTTGAACGTTAAAGTTTGTGTGAAATAGTTTTAAAAACTGCTTGTCTTGTATTCAAGCAGAGGAGGCTCGTTGAAAAGGCGACAACAAACAGCTGTGTTGTGCTAATAAAATGTAAACAACATAAATGAGATCCAGGTGAAGCGGTCGACCCTCAGCTGGTCTGTTCGGGGTTTTCTGCAGGAGTCCGGCTTCGTGCTGGAAGAGGAGCTCCAAAGACCTCCCGAGCATGAATCTACCGCCTCCGTGCAGCAGAACTCGTTTCTGCCGGGAAAAACTGGAGCGAGAGTCAAACCGGGAGATGATCTGGACCTCAGCTTCCTGCCTGATGAGCTCAGCAGCCAGGATGAGCAAAAGAGCCGAAGAGGTGCTGAATCTTTGGAAGGTAACAATGTTTTGTTTTTTATTCTGATTGTTTCCCTGAGAGCTGAAGGAGGTAACTGATATGAGCTGAAGAAGCAGAAAGTGAGCTGTAAAAGCTAAAAGAACAAACACCAACTAAAAGAAAAACACTGCTAAAAGAAGCAAAAAAATTAGCTAAATACTAAAAGCATAAAAAGTTGAGATAAACGTTAAAAGTAGCAAAAATCCACCAAAAAGCCAAAAGTAGCTAAATGCTAGCTATACATATCAAAAACTTAATTGAAATCTAAAACTACCAAAAGTCCCATTAAAAACTATTTATAGCTAAACCTCAGTGAAAATCTAAACATAGCTAAAGGCTAGTTAAAAGCTAAAAGTAGCAAAAAGCGAAGTAATATGCCTAAAGTAAGAACATGTTAAAGTATCAAATAGCTACTTAAAAAAAACCTAAAGTCACAAAAGACCATTTAAAAGTTAAAAAAAGCAAAAGGCTAATCAAAGCTAGACGGAGCAAACTGCAAGCTAAAAATAGCTAAAGGCAAACCAAAGCCAAAAGTTGCTAAATCTTAGCTAAAAATAATAAAGGGCTAAATAAAAAGCTAAAAGTATCAAAAAGTCAATTAAAATTATAAAGTAGTTGGAGGCCAACCTAAGTAACAAAATGCTAGCTTATATCGGCAAAAGCTAAATGAAAATCCTAAAACTATCCAAAGGTCAATCATTGCTAAAAGTAGCAACAGGCTAGTTCAAAGCTAAAAGTAGAAAAATGCCAACAAAAAGTAGAAAAGGCCAGCTACAAGCCAAAAATGGCAAAATCCTAGCTAAAGATGGCCGAAAGCTAAAGAAAAAGCTAAAAGTATCAGAGTAAATTAAGTCAAACGTAGCTAAAGGCCAACTTGAAGCTAAAAGCCACATAAAGGCCATCTAAAAGATAAAACATTTTAATGAGTTTAAAGATTTATTGGATATGCATCTACAGCTGATTAATTCATGATGGCTGCCTCAGTTAGCTAACTTTAGCTAACACAAAAGTGTCACCAACTCGTCGTTTTACACACACTGAGATAAATCTGGTGTGGTGGTAACTGAGAGTCATTCCAAACACACACTCTGAGAGCTAATGCATCAGACGTTGTTTAAGCCCTGGTCTGCATGTTGGCGGGTGATAAGCATTAATTTGAGGAACGCTACGTAATAATTTCAGAGATTTCCTGAAAACCTTTTAAAGTGTTCATGAAAGTTTGTCTTTCTGTGCATCAGAAGAAACTCCAACTCTGCTTTAAGGCCTGCAGAGTTTAATGGAAGACCTCGGGACCAAAACACAGGCATTAATATCGTACGATTTGAGTGAGCGAGCACCAAAAATCTGATTTTCGGCTCGTATTAAAACGACAAAAGTACAGACGCTGCCGCACAGAAACCGCTCTGTTAACGGGGGAATAACTGGGTTTGGTTCTGGATCTTATCCAGTCTGAAGGGGTAAAACAGAACACAGAATGAGTTATGAGTGCGTCTGTATTAAAGTGGAGCAGGCCCTGGATGTTTGTGGTGAGGACGATGAATAAATGTCTCTGCGTCGTTTCGTTCCCAGCTGCTGCAGCAGAGCCTCAGACTGCAGCGCTGGACGTCTCTCAGGACAGCGGAGTCTCTGTGGACTGTAACCTGCAGGACTCCTCTGCAGCTCAGCCCCCGCAGGACATGTCCTTTTCGGGGTTAGGAACGGGGGCTTCCCCCTTCTGCCCCATGACCCCCATGACCCCCATGACTCCAATGACGCCTGTGACCGAGCGATCAGGAATCGTCCCACAGTTACAGTAAGTCTCCCAAAACGACCTTCAAACTTCGGTTCTAAGGCTTCAGGGTAAGATGAGACGTAAGATGAGACGTAAGATGAGACGTAAGATGAGACGAAAAACAGATAAAAAGACGAGACGAAATGAAATTTGAGAGTTTGTATTAAAGTACAGAAAATAACCTTAATGAAGATGCTCAATATTCACATAACGTCTCTGTGATCTTGGCTCACCTAACCTGGACTTTTAGTCCATCCTTCATGTCCAAATGTCTCCAGCCCCTTCAGATTGGACGGGTGCTGCTTATGTCCAAAAATCTTTAAATCAAACCAGAGATTCTGAGATGGACCAAGGTCTGGGCTTTGACTGGACTCTTCCATACTCTTTAGTTGGTTTTCCTTAAACCAGTGGACTTAAGTCAGTGGTGTGTTCAGGCTCATTGTCCTGCTGGAAGGTGGACCCCCGTCCCTGTCATGTTTCTGGAAGAATGTCTGTATTTTGCTCCATCTTTCCTTCAGCTGACCAGTCTCATAGTCAGAGAACATCCCCACAGCATGATGCTGCCACCACTGTGCTTCACTGTAGGGATGTTGTTGTCCTTGATGTTTGGTCTCATCTGACCACAGAACTTTCTATCACGTTTGGTGTTTCCTTCCTCTCCACCTTTCCATGAAGTCCAACTTCTAATGGTCCTGTGGACAGATCATCTGTGTTCAGGGCTCTCTTTGTCCTCCTTGATGTGTTTCTGATTAATGTCCTCTTGAGCTGGTCCCTAAGTTTTGGAGGACCACTCTCTTTAGGCAGGTCAGCTGTGGCATCATCGTTCCATCTCCTGGTTCTACGTTTGTTGTTGTTCTGTTAGTTGCAAAAAGTTGGAGCATCAAATTTGTGTTCTGTGAGCAGGAACATCGTCTCCACGGTGACCCTGGGATGTCCTCTGGACCTGAAGTTCATCGCCTTGCAAGCCAGAAATGCAGAATACAACCCAAAGGTACGAGGCTCTGACACTGATCCATCGTTGTGTGCTCGGACGTTGAATCTCGCTGCAGGATTTTTCCTCGTGTCGTTTCAGCGCTTCGCAGCGGTCATCATGAGGATCCGCGAGCCACGAACGACAGCTCTGATCTTCAGCTCAGGAAAGATGGTCTGCACGGGGGCCAAGAGGTCAGTCGCTGCTGTCGAACACGTCAGGGGAGCTAAAACATGCAAAAGGTTGTGAAAGTATTCACCCCTTTGGTATCGTCAGTTTTGTCACCTGAAAACTTAGAAGAAATAGACCTTCACAAAACACTTCATATTAATGAAGTTAAAAGGAGGGAGAACTTGTTTAAAATAATTCCTCAAAACAAAAAAGTATTTGTTTTCACTTCCATTACTTTAATCCAACCATCACCTCCAGAAGCAACATGATTCGTTCCACAAGGTGTACCTGTGAGCTCAGTAGATCCACCTGTTCTGATAAAACCCAGAATCAACACATGGAAGCAGTAAAAGCTACCACCAGGCAATAGACATCATGAAGACCAAGAAACTCTCCACATAGCTTTGAGACAACGTTGCAGAGAAATACAGACCAGAATTAGAATTCCTCGAAGGAATCCCTGATGTCACTCAAAGTTGGTGTTTGTGATAACTCTCAGCCACTACCACTCCAGATCTTACATTAATATCTGAAAAAGTGAGTTGCAGCTGATTTTGTGGTTGCTAAGGGCTATTAGCTGTTGTGGCCATCTTCAATTGGCTTGAGCACAAAAGTTAATCAGCCTACTAATTTCTTTCTGGGAGTTTTAATAAAATATTTCCAGTGGCTCATGAGATTTACTGACAGGCAGTTACATGATCGCCCATCTTTCACAGCGGTGGATGATTAACAAAAAGACCACTTGTTTCTACGAAGCATATGTAAAACCCTAACTTATGCTTTAACGACTTACAAACCGGATTCCAAAAAAGTTGGGACACTAAACAAATTGTGAATAAAAACTGAATGCAATGATGTGGAGATGGCAAATGTCAAGATTTTATTTGTAATATAACGTAGATGATAGATCAAAAGTTTAATCTGAGTAAATGTAACATTTTAAAGGAAAAATATGTTGATTCAAAATTTCACAGTGTCAACAAATCCCAAAAAAGTTGGGACAAGTAGCAATAAGTGGCTGGAAAAAGGAAATTGAGCATATAACAAACAGCTGGAAGACCAATTAACACTAATTAGGTCAATTGACAACATGATTGGGTATAAAAAGAGCTTCTCAGAGTGTCAGTGTCTCTCAGAAGCCAAGATGGTAAGAGGATCACCAATTCCACCATTGTTGCGCAGAAAGATGGTGCAGCAATACCAGAATGGTGTTACCCAGCGTAAAATAGCAAAGACTTTAAGTTATCATCATCAACCGTGCATAACATCATCAAAAGATTCAGAGAATCTGGAACAATCGCTGTGCGTAAGGGTCAAGGCTGTAAAACTCTACTGGATGCTCGTGATCTCCGGGCCCTTAAACATCACTGCACCTCAAACAGGAATGCCACTGTCAAGGAAATAACAGAATGGGCTCAGGAATACTTCCAGAAAGCATTGTCAGTGAACACAATCCACCGTGTCATCCGCCGTTGCCAGCTGAAACTCTACAGTGCAAAGAGGAAGCCATTTCTAAGCAAGCTCCACAAGCTCAGACATTTGCACTGGGCCAGGGGTCATTTAAAATGGAGTGTGGCAAAATGGAAGACTGTTCTGTGGTCAGATGAGTCACGATTTGAAGTTCTTTATGGAACATTGGGACGCCATGTCATCCGGACCAGAGAGGACAAGGATAGCCCAATTTGTTATCAACGCTCCGTTCAGAAGCCTGCATCACTGATGGTATGGGGTTGCATGAGCGCTTGTGGCATGGGCAGCTTGCATGTCTGGAAAGGCACCATTAATGCAGAGAACTATGTTCAGGTTCTAGAACAGCATATGCTCCCATCTAGACGTCATCTCTTTCAGGGAAGACCCTGCATTTTTCAACACAATAATGCCAGACCACATTCTGCAGCAATCACAACATCATGGCTACGTAAGAGAAGGATCCGGGTACTGAAATGTCCAGCCTGCAGTCCAGATCTTTCACCTATAGAGAACATTTGGCACATCATAAAGAGGAAGGTGCCACAAAGAAGACCCAAGACGATCGAACAGTTAGAGGCCTGTATTAGACATGAATGGGAGAGCATTCCTATTTCTAAACTTGAGAAACTGGTCTCCTCTGTCCCCAGATGTCTGTTGAGTGTTGTAAGAAGAAGGGGGGATGCCACACAGTGGTAAAAATGGACTTGTCCCAACTTTTTTGGGATTTGTTGACGCCATGAAATTTGGAAACAATAGATTTTTCCCTTAAAGTGATACATTCTCCCAGTTTAAACTTTTGATCTGTGATTTGTGTTCTATTCTGAATAAAATATTAGATGTTGGCACCTCCACATCATTGCATTCAGTTTTTATTCACAATTTGTTTAATGTCCCAACTTTTTTGGAATCCGGTTTGTAGATCTCATGTTAAAAATTACTCTTTTTATTAACTCATAAAACAAACTTAAGTAAATGTTTGTATTAAGTTAATCAAATTAACTAGATTATTCTGTGAGCACGCTGCTGGACAATCTGTGCATCGGGCTTTAAATTAAAAAGATGCTTCAGATCAAAATCATAAGTTTTGAACCCTGGTGACAAACTATCCAGGAGGAAACTGGTCACTCTGTAGCAGAGGTTCTGACCTGACCCACTGACCTTCTCTGAGTTTGATCGCCTACAGCGAGGAGCAGTCTCGACTGGCGGCTCGGAAATACGCACGGGTGGTGCAGAAGCTCGGGTTCCCGGCTCGCTTCCTGGAGTTCAAGATTCAGAACATGGTGGCCAGCTGCGACGTCTGCTTCCCCATCAGACTGGAAGGTCTGGTTCTGACCCATCAGCAGTTCAGCAGGTGGGGTTTGGAGCGTCCTACAAAACAAAACACTGCTTGTATCAAGCTGATTCTCACGTCAATAATCCATCAGCCTCAGATTTAAGAAGGAAGGATTATTTTGGGTCATTTAAACTTAAACAACCTCCATTCTCATTTGATCATCAGACGCTCTAACAGGCAGGTAATCATGCAGCTCCAACTGGAAATTACTGTACTAGGAATATTGTTTTACTTCAAGTATTTGTAACTTTTGTACTTTTTCATTTATTTAACTTTATCCACAAAACAAATCTTTAAAAAGCATTAAGATTTATAATTACTGTGCAAACAGCTGTTTCAACGGCTTGAGCGGCGTGGATTTATTTTGTGGTCTTATACTACTTTAAAATTTTAGTAACTATTTACTGATTTGTAACTTTTAGCTACAATTATGCTTATTGAAGCTGTTGCTACATTTAGCTTGTATCAAGGGTTTGACTACGTTTAGCTTGTAGCTAAGGTCTGATTACAGTTAGCTTGGAGCTAAGGTCTATGCTTGGCTTGGAGCTATATGTTTAGCTTGTAGCTAAGGTTGTACCACATTTAGCTTGTAGTAAATGTTTGGCTATGTTTAACTTGTAGCTATACGGTTAGCTTGTAGCTAAGGTTGTACCACGTTTACCTTGTAGCTAAGGTTTGGATATATAGCTTCAAGTAAATGTTTGGCTGCGTTTAGCTTGTAGCTAAGGTTTTACTACATTTATTATTTGCTACTAATTTTAGCCTTAATTTAACTAATTTATGTTTTGGATAATGATTTTGCTTTAACTATTAGCCAATGTCTTTTACATTGTTTTAGCTTCTGTTTTGCTTGTTTTAATTTAATTTGAATACATTTTAATTCATTCTTTAACAGATTTCAAGGAATTTGTTCAGCTCTGTGTTTTCATTGCAGTTTTGTAGAAAATTAGTTTCCTCTAGTTTTAAACGAGTGTCTATGCTCATAATCGTGTGCAAAACTCTACGTTTTAAAATGTTTATTTTTCCAAGCCAATTTTTGGATGGTTTTATACAAACCTTCCCTCCACAGTTATGAGCCGGAGTTATTTCCAGGCCTCATCTACCGGATGGTGAAACCTCGAATCGTCCTGCTCATTTTTGTTTCTGGGAAGGTGGTTCTGACCGGTAACAAAACCTAAATAAATTCTTACAGAAGGATCTGTTTGAATTAGTAAAATAAAATATCCCACAGCAGGTCTTGAAGTTGTTTTTATTCGGTCGTTTGTTAAATTTCAGGAGCTAAAGAACGAGCGGAGATCTACGAAGCCTTTGAGAACATTTATCCCATCCTGAAGGGCTTCAGGAAGCAGTGAGGAGCCTGACAACGCTTCTGCTTTTTGTGTAAATTAATGTAAAATATATTTATTGTGTGGTGTTAATGTAATATACGTTTGTGTGTACGTTTTAGTTCATGGAATTAAATTACTATTTAATTTCTTTTCTCGCCATCGTAAATGAAAGTTTTGTCTAAATGAGGTTTTTGCTTTAATTGAAAACTTTTGTTTATCAAACTCAGCATCTTTGTCTTTATCACATCTCTAAATGTTTATCTCTGTATCAGACTATGTATATTTTTATCAAGATCTCTGTTTCTGTTTGAGCGTTTATCTCGTGTTATTTCTGTGCTTCCTCCATTTATCTCAGTTCAAATCACTGTTCGTCTTTAATCTCTTTATCTTAGTTGCTGTCTCTATTCTTATATTCTGATATCATTATCACTATTCTTACATATTTATATATTTTGTATTTTTACTTCCCTTAGCTGCAATTAATTTCTCTCGTCTTTATTTTTCGCCATATATTTTTCTCTCCATTTTGTTCCCATCTATAGAGCTCTCCCATATATTAATTTATATCTTTATTTTTTGTTTGTGCTACATATTTTGGTCTTTATTTTATCTAGATATAGCTCTTGCTCAATTAATCTTTGTCTTTCTACTGTATATGTGACTCGTGCAGGTAAAATGAGTCCAAATGAGTCCAAGCTGCATTGTGCAAATTCAGTGAAAATGGCTGCATAAAAATGAGTTTATAAAAGACATCATCCAGCAATCGCAGTAACTAAAATAGCATATACAGTAATTTTCCTAATCTAAATTTAAATCCAAATTTTACAACTGGTATATCTTCATAAACAATCCTTTGTCTTTTAACCTTTATAGTTTCCTTAGAAATTTTTTATTTTTTTCTCTGCCAACTTTCATAAAGCACCAGGAAATCCCTTCGTATACTGTTTGGTCACTATGAACCCTAGGGGTTCCTCTTTTTTAATAAAGGCTTGGATTCTCCGTCATCTCTCCAGATATATAAAAAGAGTTTCTGAACTGGCCAAAAAAAAACAAAAAACACTATTGATCATTTTGAAACTTTCAGATGGATCATTTTAAAATAGTCATGAAAAGAAAATATTCGTCTCTATCAGTAGTTAATATAAAGCGTTTGAAGATGAACGGGAATTTAACCTCTAGCCCCGCATTTAAAGCAGTTTCCAGCCCTGCAGGCGGCAGACGCACCATAAACCGGAAGTAGCCTGCCAGAAAGACGACGACGAAGAAGAAAAACCGGAAGTTGAGCACTTGCTAATCAAAACAAAAACATTTGGAGCTTGTCAGTCATGTCCGCCAGAGGAGCAGTTCAAACTGCGGGATGATGAAACATTTAGGAGCGAACCGAACCACACAGAGCTGTAAACGGGGTTAAATGGTTCCCGTCAGCCGGGACACTTTAGCAGCTTTTAGCTTACTTTATGGCGTCCTCGGCCGCGGGTCTCCAAACGCCTAGCCCCGCCGCATCTTCATCCGGGGCTAAGCCGCCTCTTCCTCGCCAGTATCCCCCCTCTGCCGCCTCCACCCCGGGCTGCGTGATGGCGGAGTCGGTGGACGACGCCGAGGGTTTGTACGTGGCCGTGGAGCGGTGTCCTCTGTGCACCACGTCCCGCCGCAGGCTCATCTGTGCCCGGTGCATCCAGGCCGGAGACTTCGTGTACTTCGACGGGAGGAACGCCGAAAGGTAACAAGTCTGAGACATGTCCCTGGACTTTAACACGCAGGTAAAAACAGGTGGATCAGGGGTGTTGAAGAAAGACGCCCGTGTCACAGCGGATCAGAAAACCAGACACCGTTTTGTTCAACAAAAAAGGCCAAAATAAAGCAACATGCTGGGGTTTAATACTGTAAAGTTCTGCCAACAAGAGAAGACTCGGGTGACCAGATCACAAGAATAAAACCTAGTAATAAATCCAAAGGAATGCATGTCGCCCGCCTCTCTAATGCCTCACTTTTAAACTAAGATTGGAGTTGAATCCAATCATAATTGTTTCAGCCGTCAGCTTCAGTATGGGTTGCTTTAGCTACTATTTTACCTCTGGCTTTTTAGCTAGCCTCTTAATATCTAAAACAGTTAAATCTGGTCCTCTGGACATTCAAAATAACAAAACAACAAAATCTAGAAATGTTTCGTCTTTCATCCGAAAAAAGTCTTTTGGATGAAAGACGAAACATTTCTAGATTTTTTTTGTTGTTTTGTTTTTTTGAATGTCCAGAGGACCAGATTTAACTTTTTTAGATCTTTCTACCTGGATTATTGAGCATGCATCAGGATAGCCTCTTAATACTTTTGGCTGACCTTTTGCTTTTTATAAGCTAAAGATTGATGTCTAACTTTTTACCAGCCTTTTGCTACTTTTAGCTTTTAGTTAGCCTTTGGCTGTGAGGTAATTTTTGACACGTTAACTAGGTTTTTACAACTATTTAGCTTTTTTTTTTGGTTGCTATTTTGAGCTTTTACTCTGTTGCTAAATTTGGCTCAGAGCTTCTTTTTTCTGGGGGGGGGGGGGGTGTAATTTAGCTAGCCTTTTGCTACTTTTAGTTAGCTATTTTTTTATATATATTTTTAGCTTTTAATAAGCCTTTTATTACGTTTGGCTGTTGGGCATTTGTTTTTGCTATTTTGGGGTTTTACCTAGCCTTTTGCTATTTGCATAGTTTAGCTATTTATTTGCTTCTTTTGGCTATTTGCTCATGTTCTCCCTTTTTTTTTAAATATCTTAGCTTGGTTTCAGCTTCTTGAGCAGACCTCAGCAGACCTTCAGTGCTCAGCCTCACTCTGTCTATACACAGAAATGTCTCATTTTCTTTGGTGGTTTGCTTCATGTGTTGGTATTTGAATCATTTAGCCGTTAGCTTTCGGTGTCTATAGCTAGCTGTCCCAGGATAATGTGGTATCAAGTCTTTCAGTCTGGAGTGCCCTCAGGTTCAGACTTCACAACAGTTTAGTGGACATTTCTGTCGTGTTTCATCATGTCGATGTTTTTATCTGTAGATACTCGGAGAAGGTGGGGCGGCTGAAGACGCTCAAGGATGAGAAGGAGAAGCTGCAGCAAAGGTAAAACACGTGGGCTCAGTCACTTAAGAACTACTTTTGATATCTCAGATGTAACGTTTGTGCTAATAGTGAACGATAAACTGTGTCCTCAGTATTCTCCAGGCCATGGACAGGAGCCTGCAGGCAGATGAGATGGTGAGCTCTTTATCTTCTAAAACAATATCTTCTTGTAATTCTGTAGACACATTCAGAATGGAAAAGTGAACAGTCTTGGTTGTAGAAGTGTTAGAAGATGTTGTTTAGACAGATGAGCGGCAGAGTTGTTTTTGGTTGTCGTAGATCAGACTGAATTAATGGCTGTTTTCTGTCAGAAATGGAAGATCATGCTGTGCAAGATAAAGATCGAGCAGCTGAAGGAGGCGGTGGCTTTGGGCAACGAGGAGGTGAAGAGCGGTGAGTCTTCGAGGGTTCTGATGGATTCGTTTACCTCTTGCGCTTCCTGATCCGCCGCCTCTCGTTGCAGACAGGGAGCTGCTCCTGCGCTCCCAGGAGGAGACTCTGCGGCTGCAGCGCCGAGCGGGGCGCCACCAGGAGAAAAGGGACAAGATCGAGCGCCACAACCGGCGACTGGGGGAGCTGCTGGAGAAACGGACCCAGGAGCACCAGGGCAAACTGGTCCAGCTGGCGGCTCTGAGGCGGGAACACATCCTGGAGCTCACCACGCATATTTTCCCCACGCAGGAGGAGAAGCAGGGCAGCAGGTCAGCAAATTCAGCAGCCTGCAAAAGCCAGAACGGCAGGAGGGAGATGATTGCAACTGCAAGCGCTTCGAGCGTGGAGTTGGTCCTGTTTCACTCAGACATGGTGTCAAACATGTTTCATTCAGTCGCCCCAACCTGGAAATAGTCGAGTTTTATGTTCACCTTTTTTAACAATGAGTGTATTCATTTTTTTTTTTTTAATTATTAAAATCACAAGGAACTCAAAAAAAAAGTTTTATGTTTAGGATAATTCGGTCTGTGGACAATTTCATAATTTGCCAAAGCAGCGAGGTCTGGGTATTTTTAGGCACCTCATGATCTGTTTATGATTCAGAGAGATGCAATATCAAATAATTAAATGCATCTAAATTATAATTTTTCATCAAAACACTCATGTATATATTTTCATGCCTTAAAAGACGTGCACAGTAAAGTATGTCAAAACACCCAATTATTCTTAGGCTGCCGACCAACAGTTAGCATAGATGCTAACTTCATATTGAAACTGCCATGAAAACAACACAGCACCATGTTTATCACTGGAAATTTAAAAATAAATTATTTGTAGTTGTCTCCAAAGACTGTTGGTGTAGATTCTCAGTCATCCAGGACATGACTAATAAAAAAGACAAATTGACTGGTTCTGTAGCTGAAGACATTTGGAGTTCTGAGCTTTAAGCTGCATGTTTGTATCAATATTTGGATTGATCCACATCCCCTTACCTCACTGGGGTAAAGTCCGATGAAATGAGACGTGCCCATCCAGACTGAGGTGGCTTTAAGAAACTTCTGATTCAGTAGCGCATATGAGAAAGATCTGGGCCTGATTTGTCACGTCCAGATTGTCACTTTTACCTGCAGCCTCAAGTGAGTAAATATCTGTTCATCAAACTCGAGGGAAGATGTGTCGAGGTGTGTTCGGACTAGCCATTCGCTCGTCAGTCCTGTCAAAATTAAACGATTTCTCCAAACTGAAGTTGTTCAAAGAGCGACCCACAACAAGTAAAATGTCTTTTAAAGCTTCGGTTCTGCCTTCGCAAACCAAGAGTTCCTGATGGTGCTTAAATATCCAGATTTGATCTTTTACATTCAGCTCCACACCCTGCTTTGTGTTCTGTGGGGGGTTCTAGATGAACTGTTTGGACTTTAGCTGCACATTCAGTTCATGGAAAGCATAAAGCTCAACAGACACAATAACTTTCAGTTTTTACTTCTTGCAACTTGTTTGGGTTGTTTAAAAAAAGCCTAAAGAAATAGGTAAGATATCTAAAATAATGTAAATTTATGATGTTAAGTGAAGCTGTATGTGCAGCTCATTTGGTTTACTTCCTGTTGGAGCAAACGTTTCATATTTTTGATGTCATTTCCTGTTTTACAGCTCAAGTTTCTCATTGGACACCACAGTAATTAAAAGAACCTCACAAATAATTGGCATCATAAACTATAAATTGTTGATTTCGTAAATGTTTAATTAATACATTTATGTCTTTAGAGAAAATGTTGAGCTGTGTAGTGACCCCTGCGTGTCTCCGTCAGAGATCCCGCGGACGTGATGGCAGAGTGCGACCCCGTGCTCACCTCCAGCACGGTGTCGGAGCTGGCTGAGGCCCGCAGAACCACCTACCTGTCAGGACGCTGGATCTGGGATGACCAGAATGGGGAGACCAGCATCAGCATCACGGGAGCGCCGGTTGTGTTGCCTAGCAACGGCGATTACTCCACCTACTACAGCTGGGTGGAGGAGAAGAGCACCAACCCAGGTCCAGGTGAGCCGGGGGAAGTTGGGGGTGTGAGTCTGCCGGGGTGCAGAAACAAGGTGGGTTAGAAAAGTTGCTTAAAGGGACATTCCAGTCATTTTGAAAACGGGATCAGTGGAAATATCTATTTTATCTCCACAGATCTGATCAACTCGGAGATATTTTGAAAATAAAAGGGTCCAACAATTGAGTTTTTTTAATTAGTTTTTGTTTTGAGTGAGTTGGATCTCACACAGAAAAGACAGGCTTTGTCTCTAAACATTTTAAGTAAAAAAAAAAATTAAAAAACTTTTTAATTCTATTCATGATTTTATTTGTTTGCTCTCATAATAAAATGATGACCAATTACATACATGTGCATGAGTGTGTCTGCCTGTTAGCAAAATATCTCACAAACCACTAGACTGATTTTGACATTTTCTGTAAAAAGTTGATGGTTGTACGTCTACAACTGATACTTTTTGAGTCAAACTGATTCAAGACGGCAACTTACTGCCATGACTAAACATAAACACGGTCAGTTTTATGGACATTGAGCTAAATTTGTCGCGGTAGTAACTGAGACGTATCCTCAACACACATGTTGAGTGCTACTCTTTCTAAAACATTTCAAAGTAGTTTTGTTGTTTCTGATATTATGATGTAAAATGTTTAAATATGTAAAAATGATCTGCTTCGCTGTTCAAATTGAACCTGTCCACAGAAACCTCTTTTTATTCCGGTTGACTCTTCTAATCCAGGGGAAACTAGGATGAAAACGCCTGAGATTGTTCCAGATTAAAGTGATCGTGTCTGTCTTGTTGCAGAACTGGACCACATTAACCCAGCTCACACCATCAGTGCTGCCCTCTGCTACGCCACACAGCTCGTCACCATCCTGTCTCATATCCTGGACGTCAACCTGCCCAAAAGGCTCTGCAACAGGTAGGACCTGGCCCGGCTCGGCCCGGCTCTGCCTCTGCTGCAGTCTTGTCGAGTTAGACCTGATGATTGGTTGTTTGGGTTTTCCTCAGCGAGTTCTGCGGAGAGAACCTCAGCCGGTATCGCTTCACCAGGTCTCTGAGCAAACTGAACACCAACATCCTCCACCTCTGCTTCTCTCAGGTCAGTTTCTGTATCGGTACATTGGTGCCACCCATCAACAAACGCTGGGCCAAATCAAAATAAACAAGCTCATGCACGTTAGCAGTGCTCCTGTCTGACTTGAGTCAGTTTGAGAACTGGGCTGACCTGCCCGATCCCAGCAGGTTAGATGTCAGCCTCAACCGTCGGCTTATACACGGTCTATCTACACTTCACAAACATACGCTGGCAACACGGACATTGTTTGGATGAAAAAAATGGCAACAAACTCAACAAACATCAACGTTTAATATCAGCTAATGGAGCTTTGTTTCACACCAGTGCCATGGTTTCAATAAAACCTTTTCGTTTCTTGATAAATTATTATAAAAACAGGCTTTTGCTTCACTAGCTGTTCGCGTGTTAGCCCAACGAGCTTCCTCTGTTCTATCCAGTCGGACCAGTTTGTTTACGGCCATACCACCTTGAATACGCCCAATAACATCTGATCTTGGAAGCTGAGCAGGGTCGGGCCTGATTAGTACTTGGATGGGAAACTACCTGAGAATGGCAGGTGCCATAAGCTTGGGGCCACTGTGGTGTAGAGGTAGGGCAGCTGACTTAGGACTAGAAAGTCGCACGTTCAACTCCCCGTCGTGCTCACGTTGTGGTGTCCTTGAGCAAGACACCTAATCCCTAGCTGCTCCCTGGGCGCTTACAATGATGAAGCTATTATTTTTGACAATTCAGAGAGCTCAACAGGACAAAAACGGTCCAAACATAATTCAGGTTCTAGTGACATTTTTAAAGCTGCCTTATCAGACAGGAAATCAGAGGCAATAGAAGGAAAGATGGTTTGAATTTTCTCTCTGAAATAATTTTATTTATAAAGAATCTCATGAAGTCATCACTGCTCATATTTGTAGGGATACATGATTCAATGGAGATGGGACTTTTAATTAGTCTTGCTATAATACTGAACAGAAACCTGAAATTATTTTTATTCTCATCAATTAAATGAATAATATACAGTTCTAGCTTTATGGGGAGCTTTCTTATATGTTTAACAGGTTATCTCTCTAAGTTGAATAAAATAATTTCACGTTAGTGGAGCACCATTTTCTTTCCAGCTTTCTAGATACCGATTTTAAAGTACATAACTCAGAATTGAACCAAGGAGCCAGCTTCCTCTGATTGATTACTTTCTAACTTCTAAATAACTGAAGCCATTTATGTGTTTTCAGCACGTGAACAGCGAGAAGCTTCACCCTCATCACACACTCAGGAACGTCATGTTTCTGATCGATCCTGACAATGACAACCTGGGCAGGTGAGAGCCAAAGTGTTCATCCAACCACACAGAGAAGCGGTTTCTGGTGAAGTTCTTTACAGCGGTATCAGGGTTGTTTTGCCAGGATTAGAAGCTTAGTTTAAAGCCGAGTTCAGGATTTTCTGCATCATAAAGCCGGTTTGGGTCTTACTTGGGTCTGTTACCACAGTAAACTTCTCATGGCTTGTAACGGGGAGCCACATCCTTCTTCATCTGCCCTAAAGATGTTGCAAAGATCCTGTGAAGATCGGAGGTCGTGAACTGCTAATAAGTTGCAACAATCGTACTTTTGTTGTGGTTGTAATTTAGTTACAAACTGTCTTAACTATGTCTCACTTTCATTCAGTTTCATGACAGTTTGATTTAACTGCTCACTGAACTCTTCCAAAGTTGTCTCACTTTTTCTTTTTTAGCACCTTCTGACTCAAAAACTGAACTAACGCCCGTGAGAACTGATGAGAACTTGTTTAAATTTCTTGCAACACATCAGTAAAGATGAACTGAGAACCATGAACATTTTGAGACATTTTGGAAACACTTTGTAGTTTGTCACCAACAGTTGCTGCCCTGCAAGTCAGGTGATTAAGGTTCAGACAAACAAAACCAATGTCTGGAACCAGCAGAAGGAAAAGTTGGCACCAAAAATTTGCCAATTAGAATATACAATCTTTGTTTCTGGATAATGAGATAATGTGGCAAGATGAGAAGAAAGCAGTAAATTCTAATTTTAGCACATGTCTTAAATCTGTCATCTGTCATTATCAGAGTGCATAAATAACAAAATGTTTTGTAAGAACTGGTGGACCCAAATTGGATGTCGGTAATATTTTTTGGTTCTCAAATGGTTTCCTAAAATTTAACTAAACCCAAATGCTAAAGCTAAATGCTAAAGCAAGAGTGTTGTGATGACAAAAAAGAGAGAGAAGAGACGGGAAATTATGGGTTTATCACTGCTGATATCATCATTGCACATTTTCTACAGGACTGGTCCGTTTGAGGTGAGCGCTGACCTGGAGGAGTCCATGGAGTTCGTGGAACCAGAGGCATCGGGACCGACGGAGGAGAGCGGAGACGAGGCGGTGACGGACGAGGAGACGGACCTGGGAATGGACTGGGAGACTGTGCCCAGTCCACGGTTCTGTGACATCCCCTCTCAGGTTGGCTGCTGTCTGGATTAAACTGTTGGATTGACAAATGCAGATTAAATGTGTAATCCAAGTGACAAAAACTCACCAATAAAGCCTCCTCTGTCTGGTTTCTGCTCCCCCTGCAGTCCATGGATCTTTCCCAGAGTGCACTGCAGGTGTCCCAGCCGTCGGGTAACCCCGGAGGGATGATTTCGTCGGCCGCTGCCTCCGTCACTTCCTGGTTCAGAGCGTACACTGGCCAGCGCTGATCCAAACCCATCGCCAGAAGCTGAAGGCCGGTTTAGAGCAGGCGGTCCAGGTGTCGGGTCAGAAACGGACTTCATATTGTTTTTATCTTTTTAGGGGGCTGGACTGCAGTTGGATCCAGTTGGTCTGTCTGAACTTTTTTGCAAGTTCCAGAGCAGTTTTTAAACAATCCGTGATAGCAGCAGTTGTTCTTGAGCAGGAAGCTCACACTGAAACGTTTGGGTTCCATTTCCTGTTGGTTCTGTTGGCCTTCCTGAGCGTCATATTTGTCTTCTGTGTGCGTCCACGTTTTATTTTAACGACCGGTTGAATGCACCGACTGAGCACTAATTATTATTTTGACATGTGAGCTGTTTTCTTCTGATTCTGACCTAAATGACTTTTCTGATGTTTAATAAACACGTAGTTCTTGTGTGACGTTGTCTTCATTGAACGCCATCTTGGGCTCAACATCATAAAACTCTTAACAGATCAACTCGGACACTTTGTGCTAATCTTGTGAATAAACTACATTACAGTGTTTCAGCCATTTTGCGTAGTTATGTTCATAATTGAGGTAAAACTGGAGCTTTTCAGATCGAAACGCTATAAAACCTACAAGAAATCCTCTGAAGAAGGTTGAAAGAAAATTAGTGCTTTATCCAAGTCAAGCAGGGATTTAAGATCTCTTGTTATTCAAATCAAGCTCTTCTGTTTATCTTGATCATTCAGGCTAAACCCTGGTTTAGTTAACTGTTTCTGACTAGTGGATAAAAACGTACGTTTTAGGCTGAGCGCACACGTGGACCTTCAAACAGGTCAGGGAGCAATAAAAAAGCATTTCAGATGGTGTTTTCTTAAACCCACGATCATCTGTGGTGAGAAGCGTGCAGCTGCTGATCCTCTGAGGAGCTTTGTGTTTGGCATGTGAGCTGAAGATTAGCTGTTTAGTTCTGTTTGGTATGCAGCTTTGAGCAAAAAAAAACTGACCTGATTCAACAAGTTCTCATCACAAACATTTTATGTTCCACCGCTTAAAATTTCACTAGTTTTGATTTTGAGCTTTTAGCCACAGTTTTGCAGATTTTAGTTTCTAGCTAGTAGCTATAGTCGTACTTATTTCAGCTAGTATCTATAACTTACTTTTATCTGTATCTACTTTTTAAATTTATTTTAGCATGTGGCTATAGTTTTATAGATTTTAGCTTTTGGCAAAACTTTTGTTCATTTTAGCTTGTAGCTACTGTTTTGGTTTGTTTATCTTGTAGCTATTTTGCTTATTTTAGCTAGTAGCTATTGTTTTACTTGGCTATTGTTTCATTTATTTTAGCTTGTAGCTCTTGTTTAGTTAGTTTTATAGCTGTTTTACTAATTTTAGCTTTTGAACAGTTTTTAGCCACAGTTTTGCAGACTTTAGCTAGTAGCTATAATTTAGCTTGTTTTGCTTAGCTAGTAGCTACTGTTTTGCTAATTTCAGCTTGTCGCTATTGTTTAGCTTATTTTAGTTAGTGGTTACAGTTTAGCATGTAGCTATTGCTTACTGTAGCTTGTAGCTACTGTCTTCCTAGTTTTAGCTTTTGTTCCGTTTGAACATCTTCAGTTTTTTCATTCGTTCACAGAGTTCAGGTGTGACTCTGCATGAGGTTCCACAGAAACTCATTTTCTTCCGTCATATTTGTTTAGTTAGTTGGTTGAACAAGGCCGTGGTTTGGTCTGAAAGTGCTGCTTCTGTTCTTTGGGTCCAGAACACAGAACATGAGCTCACTCGTACACCTCCCTTTTCTGCAGGATTATTGAGTTAAAGCTGCTCGACTGGCTCAGCTGCAGGTTTTGGCTTCAAGATGAGGTCTGCTGCCGTTTGTCTGCTGATGTTCTGCAGCTGGATCAGTGGGTGCCGGTCGGAGGCCTCGGTTCCTACACCTGGATTTGTCGGGGTTGGGGAAGATGTTTCCACTGAGTTCACTGTCCTGTGGGATGAAATGCTGGGCATGAAGGATCTGGTTTTGAGCCAGAGAGGGGAGGGGGTAGGACAACGTCAAGCCCTCCGGAGCATAGAGAGCCGGCTCAGAGACGGAGAGACGATGGCAGAGCGGCAGAGACAGAACCTGGACGGGCTGAAGGTGGATGTCCACCAGCAGGTGGACGAGCTGAGGAGGACTCTGCTGTCAGAGCTGAGCTCCAGTTTGAGGAGGACCGAGGAGCTGGAAGTCCGGAACAAAGGTAGGTTTTTATTTTCCCCATGGACACTGCTCTGCTGATGAAGTTCTACCTGTGGCTGTAAAATGAGCCACAGTCCACTCTTTTTAAAATCTAGAGTTTTATTCATCAGGACAAAAAGTTAAATGATTCAAATGTAACCTCAAGAGAACAAAAAACAGTTTTCACTAAGTCGGAGAGGTTCAGGAGCTGCTGATAAACTGACCCTCATCCGTGGGACCACCTGTACAAGCATGCAGGTGTGTGTTAACACAACACCAAGACGGAAAGGCATCAGCAATGATCTTAGAGAAACAGCTGTTGCTGTCCATCAATCTGGGAAGGGTCAAGTTCACCTGAAATTCATTGTTCTACAGAGAAAGATTCACAAGAGGAAAACCTTTCAGACAGCTGACAATCTTCACAGCAGATTCACCCTGAAGGTCAGACTGTGCAGTGCTTGAGAAATGAGCTCCATCTGAGGCTCTACAGGCATTAGTTAGGTCAAAGGTCACCACCTCTTCTCCCCAAAAACAACATGGCAGCACAACTTAGTTTTGAAAGTTTTCATCTGAAGGAACCACAAGACTTCTGGACCAGAACCAGACCAAAGGACAGATGTTTACCCAGATTGCACTGAAGCAAGCAACTCCTCCCAGCTGTCAGCATGGTGGTGGAGGGCTGATGGTTTGGGCTCTTGTCAGTCACTGAGTGGACCAGGAATTCCTCTGTAGACCAAAGGACCAAACTGGGTCTGACAGGACCATGACACAGCAGCTGATCTACAACAGAACGGGTAAAAACAAAGAGATTAACCGGTCCAGTCAGTCCAGAACCTAAACCCGACTGAAACGCTGTGGTGGGACCTGAACAGAAGTTGAGCTGAGCAGAAACACTCGGACACTCAACTCTGCAGCAGTCAGATTGTCTTCTTTTGTCTCACAGTCCAATCAGTCCAGGTGTCAGAACTTCAGTCCAGAATGAACAGCAGTGAGAGATCTGTGGAGGACCTGAAGAAGAAGAACTCAGGTGAGTGTTGGGGTTTTGTGGTCGACATCATCGTGTACCGTTTCGAGGGAATCAGATCATAAACGCAGAGTTCGTAAAAGCAGCTAAAAGGCTAAAGTCCCCAGAGTCATTGTCTGCTGTTGTTTCTTCAGCTCTGGCGGCGGAGCTGCCGTTCCTGCAGACACGACTGAGGGCGAGTGAGAGCACAGTGGAACAGCTGAGGAGGAAGAGCACAGGTCATCATCCTCCTCCTCACTTTAGAGAAAACACCGACTCAGCATTCAAACAATTGTTTTCTGTTTTTCTTTAGCTTTTGTTTAGTTTTTTATTACTTGTAACTTTTGGCTAGTGTTTTGCTACTTCTAGCTAGGCTTTTACTACTTTTACTTTTTGGCTGGTATTTAGCTGCTTGTACAGCTTTTAGCTAGTGCTCTGCTTATTTTAGCTTTAATAACTAATTTTTAGCTTCTTCAGCAGTCATTCTGCTCTCAGCATCGCACGGGACTGTTGCTGGAAGTGAAGTTCCTCCAGTATTTATTAAAGTTGATCTTGTCTGAATGGATAATGACACATTAAATGTTGACAGGGGTCGATGCACCTTCTGCCTGAAACTATTCTCTTCTAAAACCGAATAATAATTTGTAAATATCTAAACTGACAAAATGCCAACTTTTTGATATTTAAACGGTTAAAAAAAAAAAAAAAAGTATAAGGAGAAACGAGATTTAAAGAAATGTTAAAGCTGCTGTCAGTGGCTCATTAGAAAACAGTAAATTCTCCTTGGAAGTTTTTTTTATTGTGGTGAATTTATTTTCTACTGGTTTTCAGTCCTGGCACTCAGATTGTGCAACACTGAGAGTCTGCTGGAAGACCTGAGGGAGCAGATTTCAGGTCAGCTTTTACTTAAACACATTGGAACCGACTGGGTGATCGTTGTTGTATTTATTATGGATTCAGAGGAATAGTAGCTCTTTAGTCAGTGCAGGATTAGATTCTTGTTAATTGGAGGATGTTTTCCTGAAAGCGACCAAATCAAAACAGTTTTTGTACTTGCCTGCTCAAGCTTGTTGCATTGCTGAAAGATTATTATAAATGAACATAAACTGAGGAGTTAAAAGAGAAAGCTGGCAGAAAAATATGATTGTTTACCTCAACAGCACCTCTAAAGTTCCAAGCCTCCAACAGAACGTCTGAGATGATCTCTGATGGAGAAGAGATGGAGAGTCGACTGAATGTCAGTCTGGAGAAGCTGAAGACGAACACTGAAGGTAACTCCACCCATCAGCTAGAACACGAGTACACATCAGGTGATGAGCACAGGTCCAATTCAAACCTGATGAGCAACTTAGAATCATATACGGAGACGTTAACAAGTCCAAAACAAATCAAAGAGATAACATTTTAAATGAAGGTTGGTTGTTAAATGGAAGGTTGGATGGTCATAAAGATGGATGGAAGGAGGTGGGTTGAATGGATGAAGGTAGGTTGGATGGATGAAAGTTGGTTGGCTGGATGGATGGATGAAAGTTGGATGGATGAAGTCTGGATGGTTTGTTGGATGGCTTGCTGGATGTATGATGGATAAAGATTGGTTGGATGGTTGGTTGGATGAAGGTTGGCTGGTTGCTGGATGAATGGTTGGATGGATGAAGGTTGACTGGTTGGCTTGATGAAGGTTGCATGGATGGCTGGATAGATGGTTGGTTGGATGGCTTGTTGAATGGTTGTTGGATGGATGGTTAGATGATTAGTTGGTTGGATGAAGGTTGGATGGTTGGACAGATGAATGAATGAAGGTTGGATGAATGATGAATGAAGGTTGGATGGATGGATGAAGGTTGGATAGATGGTTGGATGGATTGTTGGATATATGGTTGGTCAGATGGTTGGTTGGATGAAGATTGGATGGTTGGTTGGGTGGATAAATGAATGAAGGTTGGATGGATGGAAGAACGAAGGTTGGATGGATGAATGAATAAAGGTTGGATGTTTGGTTGGATGAATGTTGGATGGTCTCAGAGGAACGTAGTCTGTTCAAGTCAACTCAATGACATCATCATCAGTTCACTGATGGATCACTATTTCCCGTTTCCCTGCAGATCAAGTTTCTGAGGTGAAAAACCAACTGAGGTCCAGTTCGCTGCAGCTGCAGGAGCTGAGATCAGCTGCAGGTCGGTCACACGATCACTTTAAACTGCTTTACTCACTTCCTGTTTGCTTGTTTTACCTGAAACAGCTCGATTAGTTTCTGCAGAGAGTCGGCTGGAGGAGACCAACAGGCAACTGGAGGAGCTGAAAACACACCACGCAGGTGAGGAAGACTAACAATCTCATTTAGTCTGCCTGTTTCTGACTCGCTCATCTTCTGGAGGACGAGGTCCATTTTCATGTTTACAATAAGATGACATCAGTTGGAAAATCTACAACGAGTTCCAGTTTAGGAAAGTTTTAAAGCAAGTTTCTGGACTCTAAACTGAGAAAGATGCTGAAACGTTCTCTGAGCAACGTATTCAGAACCATTGTTTGATGTTCTGTTCAGAGCTGGTGAGCAGACTGAGAACGAGTGAAGAACGGATCCACGACCTGAACACAACAAACACAGGTAACACACGACACTTCTACACTTACTGCAGTTACTCAGGTCCACAGAGACACAACTGGACCAGCTTCAGACCCAGAGCGCAGGTTCTGTCATCAACTTATGATGTCCATCTCAGTAAT